AGCAGGGAGCCCGATGTGGGGCTCGATCCCAGGACCCTGGGATCATGACCTGAGCCGAAGGCAGACGCTTAACCGACTGAGCCACCCAGGCGCCCGGGTCAGCCACATCTTAAAATCAGGGTTCTCACCCACGGGCGATTCAGACTTAGAAATGTCTGGACACGTTCGGTTGGCGTGAGCGATGGGGGAGGTACGCTACTTGCGTCTGATGGGTGGAGGCCGGGGCTGCTCCTCAGCAGCCAGCCACAGCCAGCACAGCCCCGGCCCAGAGAGCGATGCAGCTCCAAATGTCAGTAGCGTCAGGGCTGAGAAACCATAGTTTAAACGGAACCACCCGAATTGAGACGGGCCACCAGAGACTGCTTGATTGAGTTCCATCGTATAGCTCAGTAGGAAATTACTTTTCTCGATGGAAACACAGTACATACGCATGACGGAACATCGAACCCGTGCAAGAGCGATAGCAGTTAAAAAAAGTCCTGTCTTCCACCTCAGGTTTCCATCCTCTTACCCAGGAGGTCAACAGACTCCTGTTTATCTAGAATTTTTCAAAAATTTTGGACGAAGGGTACCATACCGTACACATTACCGTGGTGTCGCTCTATTTATTTCCACATACTCATTTTCTCAACTGCATGGGCATTCATTAAATCACTTGCTGTTTCTTTGCTAACACGACAGAGAGTGTTTTGCATGCCATCTGTTCGTTTTGCGGCCCGCTGGAGCCCTGGCTTGGTTGAAGCCTGCTGTACCCCACTGCCCATTTCAGGTGGCGTCAGGCATAACTTCACATGGTTAAATAGAGGGTAAAGATGAAGGGAACTGCCAGGGAAGATGAACAGTCCAGAAGCTGCTGGAAAAAGAAGGGAAAAGCTGAGGGAAGAACAGGTACATGGTGTGTATCAGACTTCTATCCAGAACATAGCGTTTTTTATTAAGCAGCAAGGCATATTTGCAGCTCTGGGTTAGAGAGCCTGCGTCACTTGTCTACTTCTACCCTGAAATATATTCACCTTGCTGGCTGGGCATTTGCAGAGGTGCTTCAGCCTTCTGTCCCGCTCACCTCCCAAGACGCTGACTTTTTGGAAGCAAGTGGTAGTGTTCCACAGAGTTGCCTGCTTCCCGGTGTAGGCGTGCAGTGCCTTGCAGACTGTGCTGACCTCTGGGGATTCTCACTGGGTCCACAGACGGCAGTGGAATCGGGAAGGGTGACCTGCAGTCCACGTTGCTGGAAGGGCACGGCACCGCCCCGCCGGACCTGGACCTCTCAGCCATCAACGGTAAAGCACTCACCTTGGCCCCCCCTCACTGCCCCCCGCTTTGCCCCAGCGGGCTGCCGAAGCGTGCTCTGAGTTCTCACCCTCAAAATGCTCTTCTTGACCTTAGACAAAAGTATGGTTAGAAAGACTCCGCAATTAGAAAAAACGATGTCGAAGAAGACTGAGTCATCGTCATTTTCTTCTTCACAGAGAAAGAGCCCGGTAAGTGTCCGAAATGAAAGGGAAGCTGCGGAATTAGAGACGTCTGATATTAGCTTCTGCCCTGTGCACATGCCATGCGAGGCTCGAGGCTCTAAGATGGAACAAGCCAGCCACACGTTTTAGGACAAACCCAAGACCACACATGTCCTCAGAATATACGTAGAGTTTAAGTTGCCCCAAGTACATGTACAGGAGTCATTACTAAGGCGAGATCATGTGAACAACAGTGCCTCGTTTGCTGATGCTGTGCTAGGGAAAGCACCAGGCCAGGCCCTGGGTCCCGGGGCAGGACGGCTGGGCTGGGGTCTCGCTGGGGTCGGAGGCCCGCGTCCTGGCTCCAGTGTGGCACTGATTGGATGGGTACCCCCCCAGCTGACCCTGGACCAGCCAGCCACGGGACGGGGCCGGACCATCCCCTTCCTTCTCACAGGGCGCCCAAAAAGACTAAAGGAGAAAATAGAAACAGCGGGTTGATACACAGGAGAGAATCATCAAACTACTAAATTAAGTAAAGTTCGTAAAGGGTCGGTTTCTGCCCCTCCGGGGGAGAGAGCTAGGCTTATACCAATTCACTGGCAACCAAAAATGTCTTTCTCTCCTCCTCAAGGACCTGTCGGAGGCGATGGAAATGATGGAATCCCAAACGTTGCTCCTGACCCTGCTGACCGTAAAGGTGAAGACAGGACCTTGCTGGCACGTGACGTGGGTGGGGGGCAGCCTTTGTCAGCCGCAGGGCTGGAGTGCCCGCTCGTCTGAGCTCCTGTTGTGCACTTGACAGATGGAGAACGGTCTCGCTTCATTCGAAGAAAAGGCAGAGAGGAACTTACTAATAATGTGTAAAGAGAAGGAGAAGCTGCAGAAGAAGGCCCATGAGCTGAAGCGCAAACGTCTCCTCACTCAGAGGAAGCGGGAGCTAGCAGCCGTCCTTGACGCTCAGGTCAGCGGTGACTGCAGTCTCCGCGCCGCGTGTCTCGGGAGGGGGCGAGCCCGGCAGGGCACTCGCAGGGAGTGCTGACGGGAGGTGTCCCTGCCCCCTGGGTGTTGGTATGTGACAGTCTGTAAGAGGACGAGGCTGTAATGTCAAGTACTAAGCAGCCAGAGGGACCTGCCCCTTCCATGCACGCATGGCATATTCTTCAGGCCCCTGAGGCTTGTGCCCAGTGAGGCAAAGACGTGAGCCGCGCCTCCCCACGGGGCCAGGGTGCTGGTGGGGGACGCCGTCTTGGCGCCGCGTGGTCAGCGTTGGGACAAGAGCCAACCCCTGGCACCTGGAGAGGGCCCGTCCGGAGATGGGGCTGGTCCTCTTGAGTGTGCAAGGGTACTAGGGCTGCCGTAACTAGTACCCAGGGGCCGGGCGGCTTAAATGACGGCCCGGGATTCTCTCACGGTTCTGGAGGCAGGACATCTGAGACCAAGAGGTTAGCGCTTCTGGTGCCTTACCAGGGCCAAGAGAGAAAGCTGTGTCCTCGGTCTGTAGCGGGCCATCTCCTCCCTGCGTCCCTTCACTTGGCATTCTCTCTGTGTGCTTGTCTGTCTCCAGACCTGGCTCACTTGAACGACTTCACCTTAACTCGGTTACTTCTGTAAAGACCCTGTCTCCAAGTCAGGTCATATTCTGAGGTGCTGGGGTTGGGACATCCACAGAGGAATTTGAGGGGACACGATTCAACCCCTAATACCCAGTGTATGTGTGTCTGTGTGTGTCTGTGTGAGAGAGAAAGAGAATGCTCTGCAGCCAGGCCCTGGGCTAAGAGCTGGCCTCTGTCCTCATGGAACTTAGAGTGGAAGGAAAAGAAAAGACAAGCGAACAAATACATTCTCACAGGCCCGCATGAGGACCCTAACAGCATGTACAAGGGGGAAGGGGGTTCTTACGAGGGGCAGGCCTTTCGGCTCAGTGCTCTGAAGCAGGAGGGCCCAGCTTTCTTGGGTCCAGTGTGGTCCCACTTGAGGGCCTGGCCCTGGAATATTCTGGAAGCCATGTTCCTAGTGAAGAGGCCTGGGCCACCTTGCTATCGGCTGGGCTATTGGAGGGCAGCTGGGAGTGAGGGGAGAGACCCCCACACCCACGGAAGCCTCCTGGAGGATTCCTTAGGAAATCCTGAAAGCACAGCACTGTATCTTCACCTCACAGGTACTGTGAACTTCCCGAGTGTGTGACTGGGTCTTGTCTCATAGGCCTCTTTCACTCCTGCCTGCAGATCGAAATGCTCAGCCCCTATGAGGCTGTGGCCGAACGCTTTAAGGAGCGGTACAAGACATTTGCCACGGCCCTGGACACCACGAGGCACGAGCTTCCTGTGAAATCGATCCACCTGGACGGGGACGGGCAGAGTTTCTTAGGTAGGAAACGGGGCGGCTGCCGGGCAAGGGGCAGATCCAGTGTGGGTTGGTGCTCCTTGTGTGCCAGCCACCTTTATCCATTTGTGTCACATCACAGCCTCCTCTGAGGTAGATGGTGCATCCCTCATCAGATGGCAGAGGACAAGGGAGGCTGGCAAGGCTGCGGTTTGTCCGGGGTCGCGCTCTGAGTAAGGACCATGCTGGGATTTTAAGCCAGGTCTGTGGACCGGCCCAGTAATTTCCAGCCCTGCTGAAAGACACTTCTGTGGAGCAGCTGCATTCCCCCAAAGGGGGTCTCTTCAGAGATGCTGATCTTCACCCCATCCAGCTTTCTTTTTTCTTCTTTTCTTTTTAAGATTTTATTTTTAAGTAATCTCTACACCCATCGTGAGGCTCAAAGTCGCAAACTCAAGATCAAGAGTCACACCCTCCAGCGACCAAGCCAGCCAGGCGCCTCAACCCCATCCTGCCCTCTACACAGAGCCATGGGATCCCTCTCTTGCATAGGGTTCCCACCTAATCCTTCACGGGAAGAAATCAGCAAGCATGCTTGATCTTAAAATTCTCTTTAGAGGAAGTATCTTCCCAAAGCAAGTTTTCAGTTGCCTTAGTGTCTGGTTATTTCCAGGCAGGGCCCTCATGAGCCATCTACATACGTCTAGTTTGAGGCTGATGTAGTAAAGCATCACCACCTAAAATCAGGTGGACAGTCCCTCCAGAACTTGCCACAAACGCAGTTCAGGATCACAAAGGCTGTTGTTGTATTGGTAATCTCAGAGATGATTCCTGATCCACCTTTTCCCAGTATGGATAAGTAAGGGAATCACATGGAGTCTTGAAGAACGAGGCTTGTGGAGCGATTATCTGCGTGCAGGTGTCCGGTTTTATAATGACAGCAGTCAGCTGCACACCTGCGACTCGGACTCCGTCTCTGACAAGTGCCGTAGGTGGTGACTAGGAGTTGGGATCGGGGAACGGAG